AAGAAATTTAAATTTCAAATCCCATTTGAAATTCAAATTTTCGGCGCCATTTGTGTTCCTTCAAAGTTAGAGCCATTATGTTTGCTCCCTTAGCCTATATATTGAACCATTCTCTTTACTTTTCAGCACTTTGAATAAAATTAGAGAATTCTAAAATTGTTTTAGCCATTTCTATCTTTCAAAGTCCCCACACCTAGTCTAGGTTCTCCTTGAACTTCTTCTAGGATTAGCACCTTTGTGAGTAATCCATTACTCACCTTGCCTTGGTGCTCCCTTCTTCTTCATTCTTCTTCCTTCTTTCAATTTTCAAGGTTCTTCCTAGCTAGAATTTTCGTCCAGCCACTTCAAGGAGAAGATCAATGGCCGGAGCAAGCCTAAGGTGAAGAACAAGGCTAGACACATGTGCAGGGGGCCCATTTGCGTTTTTAGGTCTTAGGTGTCTAGGTTAGGGCTGACCTAGCAGCCACCAACATGAAAAAATTGATGTGACCACATTTTGTTCTTCTTCTCCCCTTCTTTTACGTTTTTTTTCTCTCTGCTTTTGTATCTCTATTTACGTTTTGTTTCTCCACTCACGTTTGTGTTTTTCTGGTTGTATTTAAGATTGCATTTTGCTTGAATGAAGATAGATTTTGCGTTTCCTTCTCTTTTGCCTTGTTGCTTTTGCATTTCTATTTTAATGGAAGGCTAAATCCCTTGGGGTTGGCTCCTTGAATGGATTGAAGCTCTATTTGAGGTTTTATTTGTATATGTATCTATGTTCTGCTTTCTTCTTCTTCATTGGACCTCTGTGTTAAAGCCACAGTTTGCTTAATCTTGTGGGAAGGTTTGATGTTGTACACGTTTGCTTAATTCGTGTAGCTTAGTTGGTTAACTCGGATGGAACAAGGAAGTTGACAGAGAAATCTTTTAAGAACCAGGGATAAGAGAGTTACAATACGAACAAGGAGTCAACCTATTTTACTTACTGTTTTACTTGCACTTTATTTTGTTTTAACCTTGATTCTGAACCAAATCACCCCCCTTTTGTGTTTGAACCTTTGACAGAGACAAATGGTCCTTGGGAGACGACCTAGGAAAGCTTCCTAGTATTACATTTAACTGTTTTTATTTGACTGGGTACGACCTCGATCAGTGACTTGAAAAAGATTTATCTGAACAAAAAGTGAGACTACAATGATAATCTGCCAAGTAACTAGGTGTCTTCCTTGATCTGATTGACTGTCTAATAGGTTAATTAGAAGCTGAATCTTGAGCTTGTTCAAAATTTTGAACAGTAATGTCTGTAGCTCTCGTATGTTGTTGTATTGGTGAAGAATAATCAATATCATAAGTGCTAGAACATGTAAGCAAAAGAGTTGTAGTATTGTAAGGAGTACTTTGCTGTTCAGAATGATAAGGAAATATATTTTCATAAAAGGATACATTCCTGGAAATGAAGACTTCTCTAGTCTTCAAATCAAAAGAGAATAAATCCCTTGGTGCCTTGCTTGAAACCTATGAATATACATTTTCTTGCTCTAGGATCTAATTTGGTTCTGTTATTAGAGAAAGTTGATGCAAACATAAAGAACCAAAAACTTTGAGCATGGAAATGTCAGGTGCAATAGAATATAGAACTTCATAAGGACTTTTGTCTCTAAGAGCTGGTGTAGGTATTCTGTTGATAAGATGAACATAATGTCCAATAGCATAGGACCAAAAGCATTTAGGTAGATTAGCTTGAAATAGAATAGCTCTAGCAACATTGAGAAGATGTTGGTGCTTTCTCTCAACAATGGCATTTTGTTGAGGTGTCTCAACACAAGAAGTTTGATGAATGACACCTTTAGAAGCATAAAATTTCCCTATGTTGAACTCAAGGCCATTATCAGTTCTAATAGCCTTAATTTTGGATTCAAACTAATTTTCAACCAAAAAAAATAAAATTTTGCACTAAATTCCTTACTTCAGATTTATTTTTCAAGAGATAAACCCAAGTATACCTTGAAAAATCATCAACAATAGTGAGAAAATAAGTGTGTCCATGAATAGAGCTAATAGAAACAGGTCCCCATATATCCGCATAAATTAAATCAAAAGCTTTAAGAGATTTGGTACTACTCAAGGTATAAGGCAGTTTCTTTTGTTTAGCAATATGGCAAATATCACAAACAAAGTCTTCATTATTGTTAATGAAAGAAAATTGTTTCTGCAAAACATTCAATCTCTCATAAGGGAGATGACCAAGTCTAAAATGCCACAAGTTTTTGTCAACAAAAGAAGAATTACAATGACTATTAACACTTTTGTACATAGAAATGGAAGACTGTATTTTATCCGGTCCCTTTAACAGATATAAACCATCTTTAGCCTCAGCTGTACCAATCATCTTGGAGGTATTCAAATTCTGTATCCAGCAAGAATTATCATAAAAAGTCAAGGTGCAGTTCAAGACAGTGGTAAGTTTAGATACAGAAATTAGATTATATTAAAAGTTAGGCAGATACAAGACATCAGTTAAGTAAAGGAAAGGAGAAAAATGGATGGTTCCTGATATAGATGCCAAAATCGAATTACCATTAGGCAAGTTGACATGAATAGGTTTTATGAATTTATAAGAAGTGAAGCATGTTAGAGAAAAGAATATGTGGTCAGTAGCTCCTGTATCAAGAATCCATTTAGTATTTAAAATCTTACCATTGTGAGTGAGAATAATGCTATGTTGTTGTACAGAAGAAAGATTAACTTGAGTAGTATCGATATGATTAGTGTCATTGTCATTAGAATTTTGTGGAAGGAGAGCTAGCAGGGTCTGATATTGTTTAGCTATGAATCCAAATTTTTGCTCTTGCCTAGATGTATTGATGATATCAGCATCCTCAATATTCTCAATAATGCTCAGATTGGCAGATCTGTTGGCATATTTTGGATTTTTGAACTTGAAGCTTGGTGGAAATCCATGCTTCTTATAACAAACATCAATTGTGTGACCTGACTTTCCACAATGAGAACATATTTTCCCACCTTGTTGCTGAAATTTCTGGTTAGTAGAAGCTTTAAAATTATTGAAACTTTTTGTATCTTGAACAGAGTTCCCAGCCACGTTGATTAACACCTTCGAATTTCCAGAATTTTTAGCAAGAAACTATCTTTCTTGCTATGAAACAAGGGAATATACCTTGTTGATGGGAGGAAGAGGGTCTATGAGCATGATTTGGGACCTTACGGTGGAATATTGCTCATTCAAACCTCTCAAAAATCTCACCGTAGTTTTAGTGTTTCTATGCTTGTTGAGATTCATGAGAGCATCACAGGTGCACTTTGCGTTGCATATGCAGGTGGGTATAGGATCCAAGATTTTAGGCTCATCCCATAAGGTTTTCATACTCATATAATACTTTGTAATTGATAGATCATCATGCTTAAGGTTATAGATTTCCTCATGAATTTATGAAATTTTGAAAAGATCTGCATGTGATAATCTTTCCTTTTTAATTCTGCCCAAACCTCTGATGCTTTGCTTCTCCATATAATTGATTGGGCAAATTCTGCACTCATCGAACGAACTAACCATCTAAGAACCATAGTATTGCAGTGCTGCCAGAATGGACGAATAGAACTATTGGCACTTGGTTCTTGAATGGTTCCATCTATGAAACCTTCTTTATTCTTTGTCAACAAGCTCATCATCATTGATCTAGACCAAGTGTGATAGTTGGTATGTGTAAGAGGTGGAGATACAAGAACCATTGAAGGATTCTCATTGGGATGAATGTAGTATGGACATATGGGGTCTTTCATGTCCTCCAAGGTAAAGTCGATATCCACGAGACTGATGAAGATGCGCAGCAGAGCTCTCCTAAGAGAGCTCTGATACCATAACAGGTTTTAAAGAAAAAGGAAAAGAAAGAAAGGGAGAACCAAAAGAAAGAGAAATATTATATTATGATAGATTAACTACAAAAGAGAAAAGAATACCTATTTAAAAACAGAAAATAAAGCTAAACTAAAACTAAAACAGAAAAAGCTAACCGAAACTAAAAATATATAAAAGAAAAACTAACCAATTAATTTGGTATTAGGATTAAAATTCTGAACAAATCCCCGTTATCATGGATCTGGTTATCACTTTGATTTTTTATTCTTTTTTTATTTCTTAACTACACGTATACTTTACTGAAAGCAATCTTATTTGAATTAAGCAGGATTATTATGGATAATAAAATTTATCATTTTAATATTTAAAGTCAATTGATAAAGTCAAACTCTTTATCACGGATTAAACTTGAGTTCAAATCCATTTTTCAAACTAGAGATCATTGATAAAACTCGTGTTCGAGTAATAGATATTCAACTATTTTACGAATATTATATACTTTAGCCTATCTAATTGTGACTACCTGATTTAAATACAGAATATTTTACAGCAAAGTCAACTTCGAGAAGGCTCCATATAGCTTTTTATAAAAGAGCACTGCTATACAAATCGAAACATATTTCGAATCATCGTCCAAATTATTAAAATATTAATATTTTTTTAATAAATTTATTATAAAATAATTATTTAATTTAATATTTTATTATTTAAATTAATTTTTTAATAATTCAGAACAAATTTCGAAGACTTCTTTCGAATAATACAACATTTTTCTTTATAAAATTATCGCTCATGCAACATCAGCAGTGCTATCTGTTTCAAGATCAATAATCTATTAATAATTTTTTGGTAACGAGCTAGTTCACGACGTGTTTTCAAAGTCAATAAAAGCAGAATTTATCTGAAAGTAATAATAATAATTTCTAACAAGAATTTTATACCTCTTTATCAACTTACGTCACCTCATCCAAGGTACGAATGTTCACACACATAATTAAATCATTAACGTAAACTCCAACAGTCCAACTCATAGATAGTGATTAATTTACACATAGGTTCATTTGTGTAGCAGAATTATACCAACTCAAATTTGTACCAAACAATTTTCATTTTGCTTGTGATTCTCCAAGGCTCCAACTAAATGAATATTTCTTCATTTTCCTCCAGTTCATTATGGTTCACATGCTTTCATGTGGTTCTCTTTTCTTCTAGCCTACTATGTTTGCACTCTAAGTGCGCTGCTGGTGCCTTAGGAAATGACACTGACCAATTGTCACTGCTCAAATTCAAAGAAGCAGTGGAACACGACCCTTTTGAGGTCTTGGCTTCTTGGAATAGTTCAAGTCACTTTTGCATGTGGCATGGAATCACATGCAGCCTCAGGCATCAAAGGGTCACTTCCCTTAACCTACAAGGGTATGCCTTAAGGGGTTTGATACCACCTGAGATAGGTAATCTCACTTTTCTGAGATATGTCAACCTTCAAAACAACAGCTTCTATGGCATAATCCCACATGAAATAGGTCGTTTGTTCAGGCTGCAACAGCTGTATCTCACCAACAACACATTAAGGGGTCAAATTCCCACCAACTTGTCTAGTTGCTATGAACTCAAAAGCTTGAGTTTATCAGGAAACAAACTTGTTGGCAAAATTCCTATGGAGCTTGGCTTTCTAACTAAGCTAGAACTTCTATCTATTGGTATCAACAATTTGACCGGTGAAATACCTGCCTCTATAGGGAATCTTTCATCTCTTGGTGTTCTCATTTTGGGGATCAATAACTTGGAGGGAAAAGTGCCAAAAGAAATAGGCCATCTCAAAAACTTGACCCATATATCTATTGCAGGCAACAAACTATCTGGTGTATTTCCTTCTACACTCTATAATATGTCATTTCTCACTTTCTTCTCAGCTGGAGACAACCAATTTAGTGGCTCTCTTCCTACCAACATGTTCCTAACACTCCCTAATCTCCAACAATTTGGCATTGGTATGAACAAGATCTCAGGTCCTATCCCTGCTTCCATTTCAAATGCAAGCCGTTTGATGTTGTTTAACATCCCAAATAATAACTTTGTTGGACAAATTCCAACTGGCATAGGGAATCTCCAAGATGTGTGGTCCATTGCCATGGAACGCAATCATCTAGGGAGTAATTCATCTAATGACTTGGATTTCTTGACATCTTTGACAAACTGCACCAAGTTGCAAGTGTTGGATTTGAATCTAAACAACTTTGGTGGTTCTTTACCCAACTCTGTAGCCAACTTATCAAATCATCTAAGCCAGTTTTATATTGGTGGCAATCAGATCACTGGGAGTATTCCTGCAGGATTAGGAAATCTCATCAACTTGATTGGCTTTGACTTGGAGTTCAACCTTCTCACAGGGTCCATTCCAGCTTCTTTTGGGATGTTCCAAAAGATGCAATCTTTGACTTTAAATGTGAACAAACTTTCAGGAGAAATTCCACCATCCATTGGGAACCTTAGTCAATTGTTTCAACTTGACTTGTCAAATAATATGCTAGAAGGAAGCATTCCTCCTAGTGTTGGGAATTGCCAATATTTACAGTACCTTGACCTTTCACATAACACACTAAGTGGAACTATTCCTTTGCAGGTCTTTGGTTTTCCCTCCTTGTCATTGTTATTGAACTTGTCCCACAACTCGTTAAATGGTAGCCTACCCATTGAAGTTGGCAACCTGAAAAGCGTCAACAAGTTGGATGTTTCAAAAAATGCTCTCTCTGGAGAAATTCCTTCAACAATTGGACAATGCATAAGCGTGGAATTCCTTAACATACATGGGAATTCCTTCCAAGGAGCCATACCTTCATCCTTGGCTTCACTGAAAGGCCTTCAGTACTTAGATTTGTCACAAAATAACTTTTCTGGATCAATTCCAGAAGGTCTAGAGAGTATTCCTGTTCTGCAGTACTTGAATATTTCCTTTAACAGGTTGGATGGTGAAGTACCAACAAAAGGTGTCTTTAGAAATGCAAGTGCAATATCAATAAAAGGAAATAGTGACCTTTGTGGGGGTATCACAAAGCTACATCTACCACCATGTCCTGTCAAAGTTATGACCAACAGAAAACATCAGGTTTGGAAGAAAATAGTAATAATAATTTCTGTGGTTGTCTTTCTCCTACTTTTAGCTTCTTTTGTTGCTTTCTATTGGAAGAAAAATTCAAACAGGAGAACATCTAGTTCAAAAACAACAATGGACCCTCTTGCCAAGGTCTCATATCAGACACTCCACCAAGCAACAAATGGATTCTCTCCCAATAACTTGATAGGATCTGGTGCTTTTGGCTTTGTGTATAAAGGAAATATAATTATGGATTCAGAGGAAAGAGTTGTTGCTATTAAGGTCCTGAATCTTCAAAAGAAAGGAGCTCACAAAAGTTTCATTGCTGAATGCAATGCACTCAGAAATATCCGTCACAGAAACCTGGTCAAGATTCTAACATGCTGCTCCAGCATGGATTACAAAGGAGATGAATTCAAAGCTCTAGTTTTTGACTACATGGAAAACGGAAGTTTAGAGAAATGGTTGCATTCCGAGTCAGAAATTGGAGATCAACCAACTTTGAACCTTCTTCAACGGCTAAACATTATTGTAGAAGTTGGTTCTGCTTTACACTATCTTCACTATGAATGTGAACAGCTAATTGTTCACTGTGATTTGAAGCCAAACAATATCCTTCTTGATAATGAAATGGTTGCTCATGTAAGTGATTTTGGACTAGCTAGACTTCTCTGTGCCATCAATGGTGTCTCTCGTCTACAATCTAGCACGATCGGAATCAAGGGAACTGTTGGATATGCTCCTCCAGGTATAATTTGTAACTAATGTTGTTTTAAAATGTTCTAAATTCTATTAGCATTCCTTAGTAATGTTACATACTCTTTTCTATTGGTTGAAACCAAGGTTTTAAAAATGGTCCGCAATTGTGATTTTGACACAATTTCAAAGTTTTTGATGTTTCTCTTATTGCAATTGTAGCTACAAAGACCACATCTATTCACAATTTCACACAACTTCAAAGATTGTGACCGAATTGCAACCGCAACCAAAAACCTTGGTTGAAACTAAATGAAAATTATGAATTACAAGTGAGAGTCATTAAATGAGACAGACCCACATCATTTTGCAGTCTCAATAAATTTTATTTGTTTGAAAGAATGTGTTAGTGTGTTGCTGGTTTCTCTTGCATTCCTCGGGAGAAATGGTTTTTAATTTCCTTTTTGTTAATCCTAACTTTGATTGTACTAAATAACATAAATTTCAGAATATGGAATGGGAGGTGAAGTTTCAACCCTGGGTGATGTGTATAGCTTTGGAATCCTTGTATTGGAAATGTTAACTGGAAGGAAACCCACAAATGAAATGTTTATAAATGGCATCAATCTCCATAATTTTGTCAAAGTTTCCTTGCCAGATAAACTCCTACATATAGTGGACTCAGCCCTTCTCCCAAGAGAATTGAAACAAATAGAAAAGGAAAACAAAAGTGATCAGAGCATGAAGAAGATGCTTCCAAATGATGTGAAGAAATGTTTACTTGAACTGTTTTCCATAGGACTAGCTTGCTCAGCAGAGTCACCAAAAGAAAGAATGAATATGAGGGATGTCACCAGGGAACTGCATCTAATCAGAAATGCTTTTATTGGAAGTAATCAATTCAATTGAGATTGACTGAAACTTTGTGGCACACAAGTGCTGGTTACCAACACTATTGGTTAGCCTTTTATTTTATTTTATTTATCTTTTTATTGTGTATGGATTTTCTGTTAAGAATATTGTTCGAATAATACAATTCTCTTTCCATGGCCATGCTGCTGAAGAAGAAAGTTTCTAATTACTATGTTCTTATGTACTTCTCCAAATTATCACTAGATTAGTAACTAGAGTTCAAAAGAGGATGGAGATGCAAAAATAAATTTATTGAGAGAAAGAATAGTATAAAGTGAACTAGTGAAGCATGTTTATCACCTGTCAAACTACAACAGTCAGAACGAATATCAATATATTCTACCACATTTTTATTTCTAAATAAGAAAATGAAACAACGGAAAAGAAGTAGAAGTGACATGATAACGGTAATAACGTATATAATAAATTAATAATAATAAAATGAAGCACTTCATGGAGGCCAAGTGCCAACCACCATGATGTATGGAAGGTTGTTAATGAATGGATACAATTATCTATAGAGCTGTGCTGGCACGGTTTTTGTTTATGCTTTTATATTTTATTCTCTATTTTTTTTATCAACATTAAAGTTTAAGATAATATTGACTTTTATCTTTTAATTATACTTTTATTTTTTTTAATTCTTTAAATATTTTATTTGATTGGTATTTGCACTTTCCCTTTTTCCGTCTTTCCATTGTCTTTTACTTTTTTTAATCATATACATCTTCCATAATCTTATTTGAGTTGGATTGAACCATTATCATTTTAATATTATTAAGTATGATTTTTCAATTGTCATCATAAAATATTTTAGATTTAGTTATTCTTTGGTTCATGTAATTTCATAAACCTTATTTTTTAGTCTATGTAATAAAAAATATTATATTTTAGTCTTGTAAATATCATTTATGTTTCTTTTTAGGTTGTATAATTTCATAACTTTACTTTTTAGGCTCTGTAAAAATGAAATATAGGGACAAAAAATAAAAATTGTACAAATAGGAACTAAAAATGGATCATTTTTAATTATAAGGACTAAAAGGTAAAATTTATGAAATTATAAGGACTAAAAGAGTAATTAAACCAATATTTTAGTCTGCAATTTTTTTATTTGTAAGTTTGGTTAAAAATTATTTATGTCAGGAAAAAAGAAAGTTGCAGTTGCATGCAAATAAGTTTACTTTTTAGCTTAATCATAATTAACTTTTGATTATCAGGGTTTATTAGTTTTAGTATTTATAACTAGTAACGAATTCAGAAATTTTAAGTAGTGGGAGTAATATTTATATACAAATTTATAGTAGTAAATATATAATTTCATATTTTTTAGAATAAAAATATATATTTTAATTATCCTCTACGAGATTTCATATTCTAAAAATATTGAATGATTTTTTTTATTTTCAACATCTTCAAAATTATTTTTTTTTATTTAAGTAAAAAAATAATTATTTAAGCTTTCATTTCTCTCATTAAAACTTTGTCATTTAAAAAAAAAAATATAATATGAATTTGGATAAACCATATCTTTTGACTAAGTTTATTTAACTATAATTGACATGATATGTCGTACACACATACATATAAGTTTGCTAATTCACAATTATTTTTTTGAAAAGGAGTAAGTTAACAAGTTACATTTAGGTGCATTTTAAAAAATATAACGATTATAACTTGTTAATATACTCTTTTTAAAAGAGAAGATGTATTTTAACAAATTAAACATCATATACATTTGATAACTTACATTCATTTATTATTAAGAAAAATTAAGTTAACAAACTACACTCAGATGTATATTTTTAAAAGAAAAATATACTTCAAAAATAAATATTAATTTTAACTTTTTTTTACAACATAAAACACAAAAAACTATAAAATACTTAATTTGTAACATGATAAATAATATTTTATTATAATATATATTAAGAAAATAATTAATATAAAAAATTTAGTGGGAACATTTGCCTTTTAAAATGTCTAAAATTGAGTTTATAACTTAAATATATAGTATAAGTTTTAATTCTTTATTGGTTTCTTCTAATTTTGTCTTATAGTGTATTTGATACTAGTGTCTCATAAATATTATAAAGCATTTGATATTAATATCCTATTCGATACTCATTTCTAAAAGATTCAATACTAGCCTATTATAGATATTTGAGAGCACAATGGTGTTTGATATTGTACTGGCCAGTCGAGTTGCCGACTTGTCCCTCACCAAGCTGCCTACTCGGTCAAAGGTTTACCAACCTAAACAAGCTATTGTCGAGTTCCTCAGCTCGGCCATGAAACATGAACATCGGAACATCATGTCGGCCCAAAGAGGCCATGTCATCAAACAAATAAAAATACAATCTTGCCACCGCGATGCAATCACAAGGTAAAACCCTAAAAATGCCAATGTGCCAGTAGACAGTAAAAACCCTAATATCACCAAGGTACGTCTGCTATATATAAGAGACATCTACACTATCAAGGACTAACTTTAGCATCGGAGTCTCTTTTGCAGGTACTACCCCCATCTTGGAGCGGACAACCTACGAACCAGTAGAGGCTCACCAATCTCATCGGAGAGATCGTCACCGATCCAATCTCAGGTGAGAACATCTTGGCGCCCACCGTGGGGCCGAAAAGAATTCCCTTTTTTCGGCCAATCTTATGGTTTCTACCCGAAGCCATAATAGAAGAGTAACAGACAACGCAACTAAGAACGTGCCAAGGATGGAAGGCGACGCCACAATTCGACGCTTGGTCGAGCAGATCGAGCAAATGCGGTGACAAAATACCAAAGCCCTCGAAGCTATGCGTGCCCAACACCAAGCTGACCTAGAGGCTCTGCGTGCAAAAAATGAGCACATCCGTGCCCAATTTCACCAACAACCCCCAACCAACCTCCTTAGCAAAACAATCACCATGAGGAGGAACACCAATCACCTTCGCCGTTGCCAATGTCACATCGATCACATGAACCAACACATCGCTCTGGTCATGAGGTCAGCCATTCAAACACCCAAGCTTTCCTACATTAGCTGGGTGTCAAACGTCATCCTTTTGCCGATGGCATCATTGAGACATCTCTCCCCTTAGGTTGGAAGCCTCTGAACATCGATCGTTACGACGACTCGTCCGATCCAGATGAGCATATTGATGTGTACGTCACGCAGATGAAAATGTACACCAATGACGAAGCCCTAATGTGTCAGGTTTTCCCAACCTTGCTGAAAGGCCCTGCGCTCACCTGATACACTCAATTGCCGATAGGATCAATTGAAAATTTTGAGACCTTGATGAGGTGACTCACAGCATAATACGCGATGAGTCGACCACATCACATCACGTCAACCGCCCTGGCCAACCTTAGACAAGGCAAGGATGAGCCATTAAGAAAATTCATGGATCAATTCGCCAATGTGTCTATCCATATACGTAACCTCAATCCTAAAGTCGCCTTGCACTCCATGCTCATGGCATTGAAACCAGGAGCTTTCGTCAACAGCCTTTGCCGACGACCTCCTCCCGACTTGGACGAGCTCCAAGCTCGCACCATTGGGTATATCCAAATGGAGGAGCATGCCAAGTTCTATGAGGCAATCCGCGGAAAAGCGCAAGGAAAGCAAGACCAAGGTCGCAAGGACAAGCTGAGGACCTCAAACAACAATCAATTCAAGAGACCTCGGCATGATAGAGGTGGGAAGTATTATTTTTACACTCCCTTGAATGCATCCCAAGTACATATCCTTGAAGAAGCTAGCAATGCCAAATTGATCACCCTACCATCACTTGGGCATAGCCCTGACAGTGCGGATAGGACAAAACACTGCCGCCACCACCAGAACTACGAACATACAACTGAAGAATGTCGGTCACTCAGAGATCGGATTGAAGAACTTGTCCAAGGCAGTCACCTCGGCTAGTATGTCCAAAGGTCCCAACCTCACAAGGGAAGCTATCAGGGACAAGGTAGAGGGCGAGGATGAGGTCGGGGATCCAACTTCTGAGCTAACAAACCTCCTGGGTCTCGGCAAAGTGACAGCGGGGCAGGCCAACCCAAGGTAAGTTAAAACACGAAAACACCTCCTCTACGAGGAGTCATTAATACCATTTCAGGTAGATTTGCAGGAGGTGGTCCGAGCAGCTCGGCATGCAAAAGACACCTACGTAGTATCAACAATGTCCATGTTGGGACCTCAGCCTTGACACGCAACACGCTACCAATTACCTTCATAGATGACGATTACGTCGGCATCTATCCAAACCAAGATGATCCCATGGTCATCGCTGTTGAGGTAGCCAACTGGGAAGTCTACAAGACATTGATTGACCAAGGGAGCTTGACTGATGTCTTATATTGGCTAACGTTTCTAAGGTTAGACATCTCTCATTCTCTTATCCAACCCCATACGGAACCCCTAGTTGGTTTTGCAGGTGAACGAGTCCACACTCGTGGCTACATAGAGTTGTTGACAACCTTTGGGACACCCCCTAACTCAAAAAGAACAATGGTCAAATATCTCCTCGTCGATGCCAATACATCGTACATTATCATCATCGATAGATCGACTTTGAACCAACTCGGTGCCATAGTGTCCACCCCACATCTGACAATGATGTTCCCAGGAAGCAACGGACACATAATCTTCATCAAGGAAAATCAAAGAACAGCTCGGCAGTGCTATGCCGAGAGTTTGAAAACGTCGCCACCCCCAGTCGAAGAGCAACACCAACCTAACACCTCTGTCGTGGCTCATATCGCCCCAGCCGAGGTCACCGATCTCGATCCAAGGTCAAAATCCAATGATAGTCGACCAAGTCCCATTGACGACCTAGTCGACTTCCAAATCGGCTAGATACCCGGGTAGTGCACAAAGATAAGCCAGCAATTGAACCCTGAGCTGCAAAAGAAACTCATGGACGAGATCTCCAAGAATGCTGACCTCTTCGCGTGGTCCAGCGCTGACATGCCAGGTATAGATCCAAAACTCATCTGTCACAGGTTGGCGATTCACAAAGAAGCCAAGCCAGTGGCTCAAAGAAAACGGAAGGTCAGAGGAGAAAGACAAGTTTCTATCAAAATGGAAACCCAGAAGATAATAAATGCGGGCTTCATCCGAGAGGTAAGGTACACCATGTGGCTAGCCAATGTGGTCCTTGTCAAGAAAAACTCAAGAAAGTGACGGATGTGTGTTGATTACACCGACTTAAACAAAGCTGGCCTGAAAGATGCATATCCCTTACCAAGCATTGACAGGTTGGTAGATGGAGCCTCTCCGGTCATGCCCTCCTCAGTTTCCTTGACGCATACTCCGGGTACAATCAGATCATGATGTACCCCCAAACGATGATAGACCATGGGCCAAGGGTCTAGTCACTAGAGCTATGGCTAGGAGAATACAAGAAAATTTGGACCTCTTGAAGACTAGTGGGCTTTTCAAGCCCAAGGTATTCTTCACTTGGACTACTCCATCATGAAGAGAAGGCCTAGTTCTACTTGTGTATATTTTGTACATAGTTATCTTGTATAGGTCTATTTTGTTAGAAAAGAATGGCTCAATCCAAGAGGGGGGGGTGAATTGGATTCTATGACACTTTAAAAATTTTCAGAGTACTTAGGATCTTTATTTCAATTCAAACTTTTCTAATATGAATTTTCAAAGAAGTTCCTTAAAAGACTTGCTAATGAAAATGAGTCCTATATGCTTTCTTGATTAATCTTTGATAAAGTTCATAGTTAAGAACAATCAATATGCAACACTTGATTCACTTTAAAGTGATGTTGTGCATACAAACATGTTAATCAAGATTATTCTCTTTAACACACAACCAAGATATTGCTCACAGTAAAAGATAAGGGTAAAAGAAGATTGCACAAGTCTTTTATCCTGGTTCAGCCACTTCACATGTGACCTACATCCAGTCCTCAATCATAACCTGATCAAGATTTGTTCCACTATCTCAATGAAGAAGTTTTACAAGCATACCACACATGCATATACTCCTACAATCAAGATAACTACTTTCTTGACCCCAAGAAAGCACCTCTTGTAGAAACTCACTACAGGAATTCCTTACCACTTGAGACACCTACTCAAGATTTACAATTATTCACAAAGAATTAAAGGAACGAATTCACCTGGACCTCACAAGGGAAGCTATCAGGGACAAGGTAGAGGGCGAGGATGAGGTCGGGGATCCAACTTCTGAGCTAACAAACCTCCTGGGTCTCGGCAAAGTGACAGCGGGGCAGGCCAACCCAAGGTAAGTTAAAACACGAAAACACCTCCTCTACGAGGAGTCATTAATACCATTTCAGGTAGATTTGCAGGAGGTGGTCCGAGCAGCTCGGCATGCAAAAGACACCTACGTAGTATCAACAATGTCCATGTTGGGACCTCAGCCTTGACACGCAACACGCTACCAATTACCTTCATAGATGACGATTACGTCGGCATCTATCCAAACCAAGATGATCCCATGGTCATCGCTGTTGAGGTAGCCAACTGGGAAGTCTACAAGACATTGATTGACCAAGGGAGCTTGACTGATGTCTTATATTGGCTAACGTTTCTAAGGTTAGACATCTCTCATTCTCTTATCCAACCCCATACGGAACCCCTAGTTGGTTTTGCAGGTGAACGAGTCCACACTCGTGGCTACATAGAGTTGTTGACAACCTTTGGGACACCCCCTAACTCAAAAAGAACAATGGTCAAATATCTCCTCGTCGATGCCAATACATCGTACATTATCATCATCGATAGATCGACTTTGAACCAACTCGGTGCCATAGTGTCCACCCCACATCTGACAATGATGTTCCCAGGAAGCAACGGACACATAATCTTCATCAAGGAAAATCAAAGAACAGCTCGGCAGTGCTATGCCGAGAGTTTGAAAACGTCGCCACCCCCAGTCGAAGAGCAACACCAACCTAACACCTCTGTCGTGGCTCATATCGCCCCAGCCGAGGTCACCGATCTCGATCCAAGGTCAAAATCCAATGATAGTCGACCAAGTCCCATTGACGACCTAGTCGACTTCCAAATCGGCTAGATACCCGGGTAGTGCACAAAGATAAGCCAGCAATTGAACCCTGAGCTGCAAAAGAAACTCATGGACGAGATCTCCAAGAATGCTGACCTCTTCGCGTGGTCCAGCGCTGACATGCCAGGTATAGATCCAAAACTCATCTGTCACAGGTTGGCGATTCACAAAGAAGCCAAGCCAGTGGCTCAAAGAAAACGGAAGGTCAGAGGAGAAAGACAAGTTTCTATCAAAATGGAAACCCAGAAGATAATAAATGCGGGCTTCATCCGAGAGGTAAGGTACACCATGTGGCTAGCCAATGTGGTCCTTGTCAAGAAAAACTCAAGAAAGTGACGGATGTGTGTTGATTACACCGACTTAAACAAAGCTGGCCTGAAAGATGCATATCCCTTACCAAGCATTGACAGGTTGGTAGATGGAGCCTCTCCGGTCATGCCCTCCTCAGTTTCCTTGACGCATACTCCGGGTACAATCAGATCATGATGTACCCCCAAACGATGATAGACCATGGGCCAAGGGTCTAGTCACTAGAGCTATGGCTAGGAGAATACAAGAAAATTTGGACCTCTTGAAGACTAGTGGGCTTTTCAAGCCCAAGGTATTCTTCACTTGGACTACTCCATCATGAAGAGAAGGCCTAGTTCTACTTGTGTATATTTTGTACATAGTTATCTTGTATAGGTCTATTTTGTTAGAAAAGAATGGCTCAATCCAAGAGGGGGGGGTGAATTGGATTCTATGACACTTTAAAAATTTTCAGAGTACTTAGGATCTTTATTTCAATTCAAACTTTTCTAATATGAATTTTCAAAGAAGTTCCTTAAAAGACTTGCTAATGAAAATGAGTCCTATATGCTTTCTTGATTAATCTTTGATAAAGTTCATAGTTAAGAACAATCAATATGCAACACTTGATTCACTTTAAAGTGATGTTGTGCATACAAACATGTTAATCAAGATTATTCTCTTTAACACACAACCAAGATATTGCTCACAGTAAAAGATAAGGGTAAAAGAAGATTGCACAAGTCTTTTATCCTGGTTCAGCCACTTCACATGTGACCTACATCCAGTCCTCAATCATAACCTGATCAAGATTTGTTCCACTATCTCAATGAAGAAGTTTTACAAGCATACCACACATGCATATACTCCTACAATCAAGATAACTACTTTCTTGACCCCAAGAAAGCACCTCTTGTAGAAACTCACTACAGGAATTCCTTACCACTTGAGACACCTACTCAAGATTTACAATTATTTACAAAGAATTAAAGACACAAATTCACCTGGAAGCTGAACAAATCAGACTGTGAATTCATAAGCAAATCTCAATCTTTCTCTTTGAAGAATGTGATGATGATGATGTTTTTTTCAAAACATTTCAAAAATGTTTTACTTCTTGGTTTCACAAAGAAAACTCTCCAAGAAGGTCACAAAGACTTCACAATAACGTTTTTCTCTTTTTGAATGTTAACTCATTCTCTGTTCATTCTTGTTCTGAAGTTTCAAAATGTGAAAACTATTTATAACATTTTCAGAACCAGATAATCGATTATTTTAAAGGATAAACGATTATTTTGTTCTTCATGATTTCTGGAAATCAACCAAGAACAGATTAATCAATTATTTTTCTGGATAATCGATTATTCTAGAGAGTGATTCCTGGGATAATCGATTATTTCACAAATAATCGATTATTACAGCAAGGTATCCTTTTTACCTGTTGTTGGAATAATCGATTATATTTAATGATAATCGATTATCTTGAGTCAGTTTTCAAAAACTCTGTTTTAAATCTCAAAATAACTTTTCAAGCTTCTAACTCATCATCATACTCACTCTTAGTCAGATTAGATAAAGATTAACT